ACCACCGGAGAGGGCCTCGAGTGGGGCGTTCTCTTCGGGTTCGGGCCGGGCTTGACGGTCGAGACCGTGATGCTACACAGCGTCGCCCTACCGCCACAGCCACAACCCAACGGAAACACGAACGGTCATTAATTTAAAAAAAAAATACTTTAACTCCTCACTCACCGGTAAACTGGTAAACCAGAAAGAATCTTAATTTTACCACCATTAAATATTGATAAATCAAAAAAAATTTTGTGATATTTAATGGTAGGGAGGAGTCTAAGTATTTTTTTTTTAATTAAACTTTGGAGGTGGTAAATCGTAATCTATGGTGTCGGTGTGGTTTGTTAATTATGATAAATTTGTAATTTCCCATTCCCTGCAGTAAGCCTTCGTTTTGGCGCTGCCGATTTGGTTTCTTCATTCCCTTACTTAATAAGGGGCTCAGATTAGGTGTTTATGGATGTTATTAAAACATTTAATGACAATGTTTAATACCATAACAAAAAGCGTTTGGTATGAAAAAATTGAATAAATAGTTGTAATTTTTTAACTTTTAAATAAATTTTTTATCGAGACTAGGAAAAATTAAGATGATTATTTATTTATCAATATAGTTTTATATTTCTTTTATTCTTACCATCAACCTATTTTCTTAATTAAAAATAACCTAATCTAAAATGTTTTGAACAGTGTCGTTAATTATAACTATTTTTCTATGTTATTTTAGTTAATCTTTTTTAGATTTTTCTTTTAGTTTCTTTTAGTTCAAAAAATAAAATAATTTTTTAATTCCACACATATATCATATGAGTTTTTACTGATGTAATTTTGTTGTGTTTTTTAATTACTAATTTTAATCCTTAGAAATAAATTTATTAATTAGTTTTCAAATCACAAATTAATCTTTTTATAACAAACACATTTTTGTTTAATTAATTTATGTAATAATACTGTCAAAAAAAATTTAATTCAATGTTTATTATTTGTAAATAAACAAATTGATTATCTTTTTTTTTCTCTTATAATGCGTAGGGTTATTTTATAAATATAACTATTTGAAATTACTAAAATTCTTAAAATTTATACGTGATTTTTTATATAGTGTTTAATGAATTATATAGAAGAATGATGTACAAGGTTATTTTATAAATATAAATTTTTGAAATTTAAACGTGATTTTTTATATAATTTTTATTTTCAATTATATATATGAGAATGATGTTGGTTGAATTTTGGCCTTTATTATAAGGGGTATTTTTGAAAAGTTTTATGTTTATCAATAGAGTTTAAATCTCTCCGCTTGTTGTAGTTAAAATAATAATAATAATAAAATTATATATGTTAATTAGTAGGGTATAGGTCAGAAATAACTCCAAGAGAATGGGAACTTTGCTTTCAGATTGTGGGGTGTCTATGTCCTTTTCACTCCTCAGTTCATTTTCTCTGACATTTGGGTCTATTCTTTAGGCCACATTTTATTTTATTTTATTTTATGTATTATTATTATTATTATTATATATATATTTTAGGAATGGGCCCACATTCAATTAAAACTTTAATGCATTAATAAGTGATAATACATAATGATATTTTTACAATCATTATTCATCTTGTGTATCAAAATGCACAGCATGGAACCATGAAAATATTTGAACATAGTTGAACGATAATTGACATATATCTTCACAATTGGAGATTGTGAGTTCGATCATTCGTCCATGCAGATTATACTAAGAAAAGGCAACCATAAAAGCAAAATTTGACAAAGAACGAGGAAAATAAAAAGACTTTGTCTTTTCTTTCTTTCTTTCTTTCTTTCTTTTTTTTTACACTATATCACCAATAAAAGAGTAGAAATTCATAATATACCGTTATTAAAAGTAAAGTAAATAGAGTCGCTTCAACCATTAAGTATGCTAGATAAATGAAGATGTTTGATCAGAAAAATGATCAACATTGTGAACCTCAATTCAGTATTGAGAACTGCTTGAAGGATGAGCGAGACGGGTGCCCTGCAAAACAGAACACACTCCGATAAGAAAGTCAATAGTTGGCCGAACTAAACTTGAGAGAGAATAATCTAGTATTTGGGTACCTGAAAACGGAGTGAATGGGGTCTATTTTTAGGCGACTCCTCCGACAGAACTCTCGACGGTGCCTCAACGACTCTTCAAGGTAGTCGTGAATCACGACATGTTGTCGTGGAGTCTGTCGGAGACTGAGACTGAATCGAGATGATGCTAATAAGATCAGTAGATATAAGGGATGCTTTTCCATAAACTTCGCTCGACTCAGGCACGTAAGGCGTCAGCTCGGTCGAGGCACATATAACCGAGACGATGAAACTTGAAGCTTTTTAAACCATTACCACAAGTCACACTTCTCTTCCCATGGATTATTAAACTTGAAGCTTTTAGGTCGCCCAATAAATGGATTATTAATTAAGTAATTTTTCAATCATGTCACTTTGAGAATTTAATTTTTATAATTAAAAAACTATAAGCCCAGCTGCAACAAATCAACTAATAATAATAATAATAATTACAACAAATCAGGAGTATCCATGAGTTGGGTTGAGTTACTTTTTAGACTCAATCTAATTATTCGGGTGTAAATTTATTCACCCTAAACCTTATTAAATAATAAACCCAATCCAACCACTGTTTTAAATATCCAAGGACAACATGTCGACGTGCTCCACATCGATCACGGAGGAGAATTTCCTTTTTTCCCCACCTATCGGAGTTGAAGATATGTCCAATTTCGTGGATATTTCGAAGGCTCCAAATTCAGACTCTTCAATACTCTGGTTATGTGATCCTATACTCCGCAGTTTGCATTGCCATTTCTTTCCCTGCTTCTTCCCGGAGAGTTTATTTTGGGGTGTTCGCCTTCATTGACGACAACCTCTCTGTCTCTGAATTTACCTATAATCAATGGAGGTGGGCTGGGCTGCTTCTGTTCTTTTGACAAAGATATGAGGGAAGGGGAAGGAAGGAGCAGTGGTGGGTGGAAGAGAATTATTGGAATCTGGCCCCAAGTGTCGATGAACACCTTTTCAGTTTAGATTATGACGAGGATGATTTAAAGGATTAATAAAACTACTATTATACATTCATTTACTAATTGAATGTCATGTCAATTTTTATTATTTTTAACATGTTTACCAAAAATATTATATTATTATTATTATTATTATTATTTTCTAGTACAACTGAGGAAAAGAATTCGAACATTATCATAGGGACAGATGCCAATTATAGTTGAGCTAAATTTAAAATTATTATCTTAATAACAATATAATATAATTAAGCTATTATTTGACTTTAATTTACTAATTCAAATAATTTATATTAATTTTCACTATCTTTTAATATAAAATTAAGTTGTTATTGATTTCCAAGTACGTAACATTTCCGAGGTTTTCATCGTAACGATATTTTCCATAACTATATTACTTATATATTTACATATGATGGTTAAAAGTGATTAATTATAGGCTTTTAAGCTACAATTAAAGTCTTGTTTACTGATTAAAAAAATTTGCATCAATATCTACAATTTCTATAATTTTTTTCTGAAATATCCGTTGATATCGACATGTTCATAAAATTGGGACCTCGACATTTCCATCGAATCTACATTTTGAACCTTAAATCGAACCCAGCCATGAAATATTTGGGTTGGATTGTTTTGAGTTATTCAGGTCACTTATTCAAAGTGACAAAATACAGACCACTGTGGATACCGACATTGACCCTAAAAATGAGAGTGTGACACCAGTGCGAACCACTATAGATGCTGTCATTGACCCCAAAAATGGAGATGCGACATCAATAGAGGCCACTGTAGATATTGTCATTCGCCCCATAAATGGAAGTGCGACACCAGTGCCAATCACAACTTACCATTAACGCAAGAAATTCAAAGTAATGGATCCAATTCACATTCATTCTTTCCAATCCAACTTTGCACTAAAAAAATATGTGTTTTCCAAAGTATGGAGAGGAAGAGAGGAGGCATTATAATCAATTATTGGGTCACCCGAACAGTCAAATGCAATCATTTCGTTCTTCGCAATAAAGTTGGTAGAGAAAAATCCAGGTACCGTATATATTTTATAATTTCGATATTTGTGTGTATTTAACCAAACATTATCCTTCAAGGATGTATACAGCCCACGAAGTTGACGCCAAGGCAGATTCAAATACTTTTTTATGGGAGTTGCTTTTTGTGTCACAAATAGTTGTCTTTGAAACCATAGCGTGCAAAAAAGAGAGTGGGAAGAATAGGAAAAACCATTGGAATGACAAGATAGAGACTCAACGACCATATTTACTCCTTCCCACTTATGAATTTTAAATTTTAAAGGTTGGAAAAAACTATTAAATTTCAGAATCTACATTAATAAAATTTTAATAATTTTTTATTTACCTATCTTCAAAATTTGATTTCAAAATATAGGGAATCAATTTTTAAATTAAATTTTAGTTGTTTAAATTTCATTCTTCATTTTGATGGGTTACAATTGATTCTCTACCTATTTTTGCTAATATAATTTTTAAATTAAATTTTAATTGGTTAAATTTCATTTTTCATTTGATTAGTTACAATTGATTCCCTGCTATTTAGTTCTGATGTTGCTAATATAATTTTTAAATTAGATTTTAGTTATTTAAAATCTCTAAAATTAAACACATATACTTAATTTTTTACCTAGAATATTTGTCTAAAATATTAGTAAAGATTCTAAAAAGAAATTTCACTCAGTCATTACTGCTACTTTTATCTTATTTATTTTGGTCATTCTTAATATCGTCCCAAAAGTAAATAATAATATATTTTAAACCTTTATTTATATATTATCTGACATTATCAAGATCCATAAGTTTATGATGAATAAAAAAATAGTTTTAAAATTAATAATAAATTCAAATCAGTTCAATTCAACCCAAATATATTTTAGGTGAACCTTTGAACCAACTCAATTCATAGAATTTTTATTTATTTAAACTCAATCCAACGAAAAAAGAAGTTTATAATTGGATTGGATTGCTCGAGTGTATCTAATTATTTTGAACACCCTAGAAATGGTGAGTAACTTCTCCGAGAATCCAAGCTTTGGGCGGAAGCGCAAGAATGTTGTGATCTTACCGAGCAAGTGTTTTGTTTTGTGGTCAAACAATTTGTAAGATCATTGCGAGCAGCCGCCGAATTGGTCAACGCCACATATAAAGCCTCTTCCTTCCTCATCCCCCAATTCAGCTAAGGATTTATTTCTCCCTCTCCATCGCACCATCTACAAATGTTGCAATTCCAGTGCTTTCCTCCCGAATCCTCCGCCGCCGTTCGCGATTCCCAAATTGATGCCCACCATCCCCCGATGCAAGGT